GTGTGGCGGTGTCATGCTGGCGTCAGGGCTTATCCGTCGGGGTTCAGATGTACCCACCAGGGTATGTCAGTGTGCGTGTACATTTGTCATGTCTCGTGTCCTCCCAGATACACCTCGGGCCCAGCTTCCTGCAGTCCTTCCTGAGCGGCGTCCGCTCCCGGCGAGCTAGGATCGTCTGCAGCTTCTTGCGGCCTTTCCCTCCACACAGGTATGAGAGCGAAGGAGACACAGACCCTGCGTCCCAGAGCTGTCCCTCCAAGATTAGCAAGGAAGCCAGCCAAGGACTCGGAAACGGGAACAGTGACAACAGTTGAGGCACTGCATATGTCTGGGCCGGGGAGGCAATGAAGATGGAGCCGGTGTTCATATGTGCTCTCCCCACAGGTGGCAGGTGTCCCCGTGGGGGCTCAGCGCTTACTATTCCATATCTGACCACGTCCTGGTCTTCCCAGCCGGCCTCCTGCAACCCCCTTTCTTCCACCCTGGCTACCCCAGGTATGGGCCATGCCGTGCCGGTGGGCAGGAAGTCTCCCGAGACTGATGGACAGATGTTACAGTGGTTAGGACTTGTGGTTGGAGAATTGGGGTTTAAACTGTTGAAGGTTTCGGGGCTGAGACAAGCCCTTGTCTCCCTAGGGCCGTGAACTTTGGCGCTGCCGGCAGCATCATGGCCCGCGAGCTGCTGCACATCTTCTCCCAGCTCTGTGGGTAACGGTGGGCCACTGGGAGATGGGGCATTGGGACAAGATGAAGGCCCCCAAGGAGGCCTGGGGGAGGAGAAAGGGAGGTTTCGCGAGGCTGCCAGGCGGGGCGGCTCCGAAACCTTTGCAGTGCTCCTGGGAGCAAGCCCAGTCTGCGGTCCCCACGGGCCCTCGCCTCTGCACCACGCCTCACCGTGTCACTCCCTCGCCCCGTTTCCAACAGTACTCCCTGGGGGCTGCCCGGCCTGTGACACCCATGCCCTACAGGGGGCGCTGCTGTGCCTGGAGCACCACTACGCTGCCTTGCCATTACCTAGTGGAGCCCCCTTCAATGGCTCCCACACCTTCCTGGAAGATGCTGCAGACATGGGGGCGCTGGCCATTGCACTGCAGGTAACTCACGCCCCAAGGGCCCGGATCTCCTTTTACCGTCCCTTGTGCAAGCCTAGTTGCAAAGCTTTCTGCCCTTCACATCCCCACTGAACCGGGGACAACTCGGGGATCCCCCTCAGACCCCACAGATCCCTCCTTTCTAGGATATTCTTAGATCTTCCGATGAGGACATCTTTCCTGGCTCAGACCAGTGTGTTAGTGCAGCACTTGGGAAAGGGGGCTACAAACTGGTTTGGGGTACCAGACTTCCAAATGGCCACGGGCCTGGTGCCTGAGGGGCTCTCTCCACCACGCCGCACACCCAGGCATACAACGAGAGGCTGTTCTGGCGTCGTGGGGAGGCCACCCTGCCCGACCTGGACCTCAGCCCCCAGCAGCTCTTCTTCCTAAGCTATGCCCAGGTAGGCAGCTGCCATCGCCCACCACGCTTCCTCCGTGTCACAGTGAACACCGTACTGCGACGCTGAAACACCTCCCCCCACACAGCCCCCGCCATCCGCTGGAGATGTTCCCACCGTCATCCTTTCATACGTGCCCCTTTGGGACCATCCCTTCCGACTGCTACCAATTCTTCCAGCAAATTCAGTACCTTTGAGAGAGAGAGAGAGAGAGAGAGAGAGAGA